ACTGCAACCCTCACCCTGCCCTAATGTTTTTAAAAACTTATTTCACATGGTCTTCTTACCAGGATAGTTTATAGAAATCCAGACTCAACAGGCTTGGAGAGAGAGGGTGATCTTGCCATAGCATAACTGCAAAATTTATAATAGCATTGGGCTTGGCTCCATTAAAATGCTATAACAGCAGCAGTAACAACAAACCCTACCCCCTTATGCCCCCTTTCTCTTTGCAAAACAGTCATGTGAGAATTTCTTACTTATATTGGTGATCCCCACCTTAGTGTTTTGTGCCATTTGATGTTTCTTACAAATAGTTGGCTTCCAACCATGGTTCTTTGAGTGAGCATGGCCCCAGAGACCCATATATTTGAATGCTTGGACCCCAGGTGATGCGACTGTTTAGGAAGGATTAGGAGGCTCGGACATGTTAGAGGGGGTGTGTCACTGGGGATGGGTTTTGAGGTTTCAGAAGCCCACAGCAGGCTCAGTTAGCTCTTTCTGTCTTAGACTTATGGACCAGATGTAAGCTCTCAGCTACCACTCCAGGGTCATGCCTGCATGCTTGCTCCCCACTGTGAGGATCATGGACTCTAGCCTCTGGAACCCTGAGCAATGGCCTTTCCCTATCTTTTTCAGGCATATTTTCTCTATTTATTCCTATAGTTATAACCTTTAGTTTCTTCTATAAAGATAAAAACTTTTGAATAGTATGCTAGAAAAATGTGAAAATTATTAAAGTACTAAAAGTAAATGATGAAGTCATCCAGGATGCTGCCATTCAGAAGCAGCCACTGTTAACATTTTTGACATTTCCTTCTAGTGTTTTGTTTTTCTCTTTTTGTTTTTGTTTTTTAATTTTTATTATTTTTAATTACTCATATTTACATACCCCTCCCCCCATTCCCTCACCCTCCCCTCCTGCCATGTTCTCCACCCAACCCACCCCAACCCACCCCCCCACTCCTCTCCAAGTGAGGCCCTCTCCAAGGACCTTCAAAGTCTGTCATATTATTTGGGGGAGGGCCTAGACCCTCCCTGCTGTATCTGGGCTGCAATAGTATCCCTCCATAGGGAATGGGCTCCCAAGTCCACTTGTGCTCTAGGGATAAAGACTGGCTCCACTGTTAGAGGTCCCATAGACTATCTTGGGCTCCTAGCTGATAGCCACATTCAGAGAGTTTGGTTTGGTCCAATGCTGTTTCCCCAGCTTTGTTACTAGGATTTCTATTCTATCAGATTTCTTTCTCGGCCCATTTATCATCCGCATATTAGGGCTATTGATTTTTTTTTAGTTAATCTTGTATCCTGCCACATTGCTGAAGGTGTTTATCAGCTGTAGTAGTTTCCTGGTAGAGTTTTTCCGGGTCACTTATATAAACTATCATATCATCTGCAAATAGCGAAGGTTTGACTTCTTCCTTTCCAATTTGTATCCCCTTGATCTCCTTTTGTTGTCTTATTGCTCTAGCTAGGACTTCAAGTACAATATTGAAGAGATACGGAGAGAGTAGACAGCCTTGTCTTGGTCCTGATTTTAGAGGAATAGCCTTGAGTTTCTCTCCAGTTAGTTTGATGTTGGCTGTTGGTTTGCTGTATGTTGCTTTTATCATGTTTAGGCATGTTCCTGTTATTCCTGATCTCTCTACGACCTTTATCATGAAGGGATGTTAGATTTTGTCAAAGGCTTTTTCAGCATCTAGCGAAATGATCATGTGGTTTTTCTTTTTCAGTTTGTTTATATGGTGGATTACATTGATGGATTTTCCTATGTTGAACCATCCCTGCATTCCTGGGATAAAGCTAACTTGATCATGGTGGATTATTTCTCTGATGTGTTTTGGGATTCGATTTGCCAGTATTTTGTTGAATATTTTTGTGTCGATGTTCATGAGGGATACTGGTCTATAATTCTCTTTTTTCGTTTTGTCTTTGTGTGGCTTGGGTACCAAGGTAATTGTAGCCTCATAAAAAGAGCTTGGCAATGTCTCTTCTGCTGCTACTGTGTGGAACAATTTGAGGAGTACTGGTATTAGCTCTCCTTTGAATTTCTGGCAGAATCCTGCAGTGAATCCATCTGGGCCTGGGTTTTTTTTTTTGGTTGGTAGATTTTTGATGACTGCTTCTATTTCATTAGGGGTTATAGGCCTTTGTATGTTACTTGTCCTTTTTCTTTTGCTGCTCTTAATATTTTTTTTTATTCTGTAAGTTTGGTATTTTGATTATTATGTGCCGAGGGGACTTCTTTTTGTGGTCCAATCTATTTGGTGTTCTGTAAACTTCTTGTACTTTCATAGGCATATCCTTCTTTAGGTTGGGGAAGTTTTCTTTGATGATTTTGTTGAATAAGTTTTCTGTGCTTTTGAGCTGAATTTCTTCACCTTCTTCTATACCTATTATTCTTAGGTTTGGTCTTTTCACGGTATCCCATATTTCCTGGATATTTTGTGTTAGGGATATGATGGACTTGAATTTTTCTTTGTTTGATGACTGTATATCCTCTAGTGAGTCTTCAACACCTGAGATTCTCCCTTCCATTTCTTGTATTCTATTGGTTAGGCTTACATCAGTGGTTCCTGATCGTTTACCCAGCTTTTCTATTTCCAGCATCCCCTCATTCTGTGTTTTCTTTATTGTTTCTATTTCAGCTTTCATGCCTTGAACTGTTTCCAGTGCTTCCTTCACTTGTTTGGTTCTTTTTTCTTGGCTTTCTTTTGATTCTTTAAGGGATTTGTTTATTTCTTGAATTTTTGTTA